TCACCTGAGCCGGTGATCCTATGGGCCAACAAGTGGTATCAGAGCCATAAAAGCATCGTCGCCAGACTAACCGCTGGCGATGACGGGCGGTTCAGAGATGGGCGACAGCAGTGGCACTGTTGTGGCTGCCCAGCCACGACCAGAGGCCGTTGTTCGCACGGTGCGGGAGGTCGGCCACATTAGTTGGCCAACGCTGACTCGCACCAACTATGGAGAGTGGTCGGTGACCATGAAGGTCAAGCTCAGAGCCCGATGGCTCTGGAATGCTGTTGACAAGGGCACCGACAGTGAGAAGGATGACATGTCAGCGTTGGAGGCTATCCTCGCTGTTGTACTGGCGGAGTACAGGGAGCCATTGGAGGTGAAGAGCTCGGCTAAGGAGGCGTGGGAGGCTATTGCAGCGATGCACGTCTGTTCTGACCGCGCAAAGAAGGTGACGGCCCAGCTTCTGAATCAGGAGTACGCCAACCTCAAGTTCAAGGGTGGTGAAACGGTGGAGGACTTCTCCCTCCGCCTGCAGACGCTCATCAGCAAGCTGAAGAGCCATGGCGTCACCATCAACGAAGAGGAGGCGGTCTCCAAGTACCTCCACTCCGTGCCGGCAAAGTACATCCAGATCGCTCTCTCCATAGAGACGATGCTAGACTTGTCCATCCTCACCATTAGGCCATCTGCGGGCGGTGGACGAGCGCCTGGAGCAGGCGACAGCAACGAAGGACAGTGGAAAACTCCTGCTGGCGGAAGAGGAGTGGGCTGCTTGGAGGAATTCCGAAAAGACAGCCTCCTCTAGCCGCGGTGGTGATGGCAAGCGCCCCAGTAGGACTTCTTCGGAGAAAAAGAAGCAGGTCGACCCCAACGCCTAACGGCGTTGCGGAAAGATGGGCCATTGGGCACGGGAGTGCCCAAACTGCAAGCAGGAGAAGAAGGCTCAGGCTCACCTGGCGCAAGCCGATGATGAGGATGAGGCCACTATTATGATGGCGACGTTATGTGCACTGCACAACGTTGAGGCCGAGGAGAGGGAAGAGGCGACGACGGTGAAAGGACCTGGGAAGGCCCTGAAGACCGTCAACCTCGATGAACCACGCGCCCAAGTCCACCTCGGACGTATGGGCGCCGACCAAGAGCAGCGGTGGTATCTGGACTCTGGTGCTAGCAACCACATGACGAGCTCCAAGGCATCCTTCTCTGAGCTCGACGACGATGTTACCGGTACGGTGAAGTTTAGTGACGGCTCAAGGGTGGCTATCCAAGGGCGTGGCATCATCATCTTCAGGTGCTAGAACGGGGAGCACCGCGTGCTAACGGATGTATACTATATCCCGCAGCAGCGTTCCAGCTTCATCAGCATTGGTCAGCTGGATGAGCGCGGTTGCGAGGTACTGATCAAGGATGGAGTCCTTAGGATCAGGGACTTAGAGCAGTGACTTCTTGCCAAGGTGAAGAGGTCCCTGAGCCGGTTGTACCTTCTCGACCTGAAGGTAGAGCAGCCGATGTGCCTAGCGACAAGGCACTCCGAGGAACCGTGGATGTGGCATGCTCGGTTTGGACATCTCAGCTTCAACGTGCTTGGTCGGCTGGAAAAGTTGGTTCGAGGGCTACCCCACATCAAGCACGGAGGCGAGCTGTGTGACAGCTGTTTGGCCGGGAAGCAGAGGAGGCTACCTTTCCCAAAGGCGGTCAAGTATCGCGTGAAGGATGTTCTCAAGCTCGTCCACGGCGACCTCTGTGGGCCGATCACGCCTCCTACAAACGGTGGTCAGCGGTACTTCCTCCTGCTCATGGATGATTGCAGTTGCTACATGTGGCTGCAACTCCAGACGAGCAAGGATGAAGCGGCGACGGTGATCAAGAAGTTCAAGATGCACGCGGAGGCCAAGAGCGGCAAGAAGCTCCGCGTGCTGAGGACTGATTGCGGTGGTGAATTCACTTCGGTGGAGTTCGCTGCGTACTGCGCGGATCAGGGTGTGGAGCGACACCACACCGCATCGTACTTGCCACAATAGAATGGCGTGGTGGAGCGATGGAACCAGACGGTGGTCGGCATGGCCCGATCCATGATGAAGGCCAAAGGCATGCCGGCAAGGTTCTAGGGGGAGGTGGTGACCATGGCGGTGTTCATCCTCAACCGCTGCTTCGACCAAGGCCCTAACGGGCAAGACGCCGTTTGAAGCTTGGTATGGGCACAAGCCGAGCGTGTCCTTCCTCCGGACATTCGACTGCATCGGCCACGTCAGGAAGACAAAGCCAAACCTCACCAAGCTAGAGGATAGGAGCACACCGATGGTGTTCCTAGGCTATGCGGAGGGTACCAAGGTGTACTGGCTCTACGACCCACGTGGAGATAAGGTGCTTGTCTCGCGCGATGTCGTGTTCGACAAGGAGGTAGCTTGGGACTGGAGCAGTCCGAGTATAGGAGAAGCTGATAGCTTCACCAGCACCTTCGTCGTCGAGCACCTGGTCATCCACGGTGGTGGAGACGCTGGGGAAGAGGTGCCGAGCACTCTGGGAGGAGCGCCGAGCACTCCTAGGGCAGTGCCGAGCACTTCGGGAGGGGTGCCAAGCACTTCGGGAGGGGTGCCGAGCACTTCGGGAAGGATGCCGAGCACTCTTGGAGGGATGTCGGGCACACTAGGAGTGGTGCCGGAAGGTTCTGTAGTGGTGGCGACCACTCCAGGATGGGTGTCGAGCACTCCCGTGGTGGAGCCAAGACGTCTTGCAGTGGTGTCGACCACTCCAAGACTGAGGCTAGGCACTCCTACAGTGTGGCCGAACACTACAGGAGTTATGACGAGAAGTCCAGAAGTAGTGTTGAGCACTGAACCTAGGGTGCCGAGCACTTTAGGTAATGTACCAAGCACTCCGGCGGAACAAGGAACTCCATCAATGCTGATCGAGTTCACCTCACCTCCAAGTGGCATCACTGAGTTCGTGGATGCCTTCCACGAAGGTGAGGAGGTGTGGTTCCACAGGCTAAATGACATCGTCGGTGGCATAGGACCCTTAGGACTGGCTGGTCGGCTGCTCAATAATGTAGAGCTGTTGCTAGTCAGTGCAGAGGAACCACCCACGTTCGCGCTGGCCGAGCGGGACGGAAACTGGCAACGGGCGATGCTGGAGGAGATGAAGGCGATCGAGGAAAACAAGACATGGCAGCTCGTTGATCCACCTCTAGGATGCCGTCCGATCAGCCTAAAGTGGGTGTACAAGGTCAGATGGGACGAGCTCGATGCCATTGTCAAGCACAAGGCGCGCCTCGTCGCCCGATGCTTTGTTCAGCGCGAGGGCATAGACTTTGAGGATGTCTTTGCGCCAGTAGCACGTATGGAGTCGGTCCGTTTGCTACTTGCTTTGGCCGCAGCAAAGGACTGGTGCGTCCATCACTTGGACATTAAATCGGCCTTCCTCAACGGTAAGCTGGCGGAGATGGTCTTCGTCAGGCAACCTCTAGGTTTCACCATCAAGGGAGAGGAGCACAGGGTGCTCCGACTGCGCAAGGTGCTCTACGGGCTACGGTAGGCCCCGTGAGCATGGAATGCCAAGCTTGATGCCACGCTGGGCGAGCTTGGGTTTTAGAAGTGTGCAACCGAGCACGCGCTCTACACAAGGCGATGGGGGAAGGAGGAGCTCGTCGTCGGCGTGTATGTGGATGACTTAATCGTCATCGGCGCGATCGAGTGGAGCACCCACTAGCCGTGCAAGCCATGCGTGACTCCGATGGAGGAGCGGCTGAAGCTGACGAAGGCCAGCACCGCGGCGAAGGTGGATGCGACACTCTACCGGAGCATCGTCGGTGGTCTGCGCTACCTAGTCCACACAAGGCCAGACATTGCGTTCGCCGTGGGCTATGTTAGTCGCTTCATGGAGGATCCCAGAGAGGATCACTGGGCTGCGGTGAAGTGGCTACGGCGCTACGTCAAGGGGACGGTGGATCATGGGATCATCTTCCCAAAGACCAGCAGGACTAGGCTGCAGCTCACTATGTTCAGTGATGCAGACATGGCGGGGGACATCGACGGGCGACGGAGCACCTCTGGCGTGCTCGTCTTCCTCGGGTCGGCCCCAATTTTATGGTTATCGCTGAAACAGAAGGTGGTGGTGCTATCTACGTGCGAGGTAGAGTACATAGCGGCGGCCACACGGCGTGCCAAGTTGTGTGGCTACGCTGGCTGCTGGGTGAGTTGATCGGCGTGGAAGCTCACCCACCAGCACTGATGGTGGACAACCAGCCCGCCATCGCCCTCACGAAGAATCCGGTTCTGCACGACCGGAGTAAACACATCGACGTGAAGTTCCACTTCCTTAGGGACTGTGTCGATGAGGGCAGATCGTCATCGAGTTTGTCAAAACTGGTCGGCAACTCACGGACGTCCTCACCAAGCCGCTCGGACGTCTTCGACTCACGGAGCTGAAGGAGATGATCGGCATAGAGGGGGTACAAGGGTTAGCAGTAGGATTAGGGGAAGATTGTTAGATAATCTACTGCTACCTTGTGTGAACACATCAAGGGAAGGTGACGACGAAAGCCCTCCTGCTGTGATACTATAGCCGCTGCAGGTGCAGGCGTCGCACGGCTCACCTGCAACACTGTAGGCACATGCAGAGGCCAATGCAGAGTCAGCCCTGTATGTTATCTAGTCACTGTTGCAGTAGGGCAGCTGTACTAGGACTAGATGAATAGAGTTATATAAATAGACTACCACGGCAACTCAGTAAAGAGAGTTCAGATTTACCATCTCACAGATAGGGTTTCAACCAACGCTGGTGTCTTGTATTATGTGTGCATGCTCTGTTCTCCCTTCTTCTTCTAGCTCCAGCCATAGTGTGTGGGGACGGACAACGCTTGTTCATGGTCGGCACGACTAGTGGGTGCTCGCAACACTAGCGGGTGCTCGACAAGACTGATGAGTGGTTTACTCACTGAGCCGGTGATCCTGTGGGCCAACAGCGAATAGGGCATTTACTACTAGCGGTCAATAATTTTACTTCTTGGTGGCGAACTACGCCTTAATCCTCTGCACGGTGGCGGCGGCGATCTTGAATGCCTTGGCGAGCACCTCATCGGTGATGGCGGGGGTGGCGCCGAAGAGCGAGTCAGCGACGCGGATGAGCCCGGGGTTCTGGCTGCTGAGCCCGACGATGCCGACGGCGAGGCTGGCGCAGCAGTTGAACTCGAAGTGGACAAGGCCCTTAGGGAAGACGAAGACGTTGCCCTTCGAGAGGAACATGGCGAAGAGCGTGCCATCGGTGGAGGAAGCCGACGTACATCTGGCCCTGGACGACGGTGAGCACCTCGGTGGCGCGTGGGTGCATGTGCAGCGGGTTGAGGCCACCCGAGGCGATGTCGAGGCCCGCCATGGAGACGCCCAACGAGTTGAGCCTCGGCAGCGCGTGCACGTCCACAAGCGTCACCTTGTAGCCGAACATGTTGGAGGTGTCGCCGGTGTTCTGCAGGCCCGAGAAGGCGAAGTCGGACGCGGATACCTACGCTGGGTCCTTGCACACCAGCCTGTTCGCGAACACGAAGGAGGCGGTGTCGGCGACGCAGAAGTCCTGGAGAGGGCTCGGGTCGTACGCGAGAGCTAGAGGAGACGCCGCCATTGCTGCGATGACAAGGAGAGCGAGGAGGAGCTTGCAAGACCTTCTCGCCATGGCTGCAGCTGCCTAGGAGTACAAATTAACTGAACTTGTGGGCTTGAGAATGTGTGTCGTCAGACGAGCGAAAAGAAGAGAAGGAAGCAGGTCGTGTAACAATCGATTGACGTGCGAGTTCCTTGAGGTAAAAGGTACTTGTGATTATTGAGTACCTAGAATGGCGCTTAGCTTGGATGGATGAGGAGAAGCAGCATGGATGAACATGAATATATATCCGGTGTCCCAGGTTGGCGACTTGGCGCTGCATGGTGCTGCACAGCGCGTGTTTGACTGCGTGGGGTGCAGTGCATGCGACCAGCAGCCCGTTCGGTTGGTACAGAAAAATATTGTGCACTAGTTTGTTTCGGCCGGTTTTGGCTCATTCAATAGTGTTATGTGAGAGAGAATAAGCTAAAACAAGCTGAGACAAGCCGAGCCTAACACACTGCGGGTGTGTCCTGACTCCTGTGAGGCGACTCTCGTGTCCCGCGACGCCACCAACCAATCAGCTATAGAGCGATTGGATGACAGTTCCGCCAACGCACGGGATCTTTGATGTGACACACCGACCAATCATAGCCCTATTCGCTTGGCTGATAAGCCATGGCTGAAAGTATTGTTGGCTAATTTGTTGTGAGAGAAAAATACTATTCGTTAGTAAAAAAAAGTACGACTTATAGCGTGTGACGCAAAGCCTTGAGCGACCAGGTGTACGTACGTCGATCCAGATGGATTTTCGATTATGGTCGAGGTGGTGCAGGCCGGCTGACAGCTAGCATCGTTCCATCCAGTTCTTAGCCGCCTTCACTCGTCAGGGTCTCAGGGACGATGAAAACGGAACAAATGGGCGTGTATAATGTCTACTTCCTCCTCTGTCGTCCAAAAAAGAATGTCACTATAAGATTTCTGCTGATCAATTTTTTTTAAAGTTTGACTAAATTTATCGCAAATATTGGCAACATTTGTATTTCTAAATAAGTTTATTATGATGAAAATATTTTGAGCGATTCATATTATGATACTAATTGCACACATTAATATTAATATTTTTTATATATATTTGATCAAAGTTGCAAATGTTTGACCTCTCGATAAATGAAAATGACACTTTTTTTTTTTTGGGACGGAGAGAGTGTCTCATATTCTAATGTGCTTTTTATTGAAATTCATATCAGAGCGAATGATACACGAATGCAGATACTAATGGGATTTTTTTTGGAAATAAAAATGGTACGAATTAAGATGAAGGAAAATTGGATCAGAGTGAATTTAAATAGTTGAGTAATATGTGCATGTACAAAGAATTATATTCTCGTCAAAAACTGAATTACTAAAGGGACAATACCAACTATAGTACATAATAAAATCTTGCATTGCAGTCTATTTTGTGGCTATGACACTGACACAATTAACATTTTTTTAGAGTATGCAAACTCATAAATGATAAGTTATTACACAACATATTCTCAATTCAAAATTTAGCACATAAAGTAACCAAGTCACATGAACAAACAAAAGATTTCTAAACTCCTGCATCCAAACTCCCATTCTATCATTTCAATTACCTCTAACCAAAGATGCCCTAGGGAATAACAATTATAAGTTTTACCTAATTTTTAGAGTGAGATATCAACATCTATCATAATGTGTCTATTGAAACTTAGTTGATACCACAAATAATATTGATTTTTTCCTTAAACATAGGAGAAGTACTCGGAATCTCTTGTTTTTCATGCCCTTGATGGTAAAGGCGTGTAGGTAAAAAACTAACGTTGAAGCTAACGAAAGCATTATACGTGAGATGGAAAACAAACGGTCATATGCACTGGCTAAGATGACCCGGTGCAGAACAAGCTAGTTACCGTTTGATCATCAGCCTGTTCGGCTGGGATTATACGGTCGTAAACGATCGTAAATTTTTAGCCGAAACAGTATTTCTCTCTCACACCAGACCAGTCAGTAGTACTTCTTCACGATCCAGCAACGAACAAGCCCAGCCAAACGAACAGTCCGCATGCGTCACATCATGTGCTGAACGGGACATTCTCTGCGTCACATATGCATAAATTTTTTTACCCCTTGCAATTAGCTACTTTTAACAATATTAGTCCTGTTCTTCAACATTATTTTAGCAATACTTTTCAACGAACGAACACTGCTTTTCTTTCACAACAAATCAGCATAAGCCAAATTTCAGCAAAACGAACGGCCCGTTGCAATCCAGCAGTTTGACCCTTTTCTAATTACGAGCTGAAACCCGATGGATCGACCTGAAAAACTGCAACCGCGGTCACTGATCACCAGGACCCGGCAATCATTGAGGTCGCCAGAGCAAATCCTGAACTGATCCATTCATGCATACAGCTGCTCTAGTCAGATCCGAGAAGAATCAGTGGACGACAGCTCACATGTGGATGACGAGGACGCCGGCACGCACGCGAGAGGTCGGTCCTCCACTCCAGCAGGGCTGGCCGGCTGGGGCAGGGCGGGGTGGCACGCGCGGCGAGCACCAGCAAAAGCAGAGCACGCACCGCAGATCTGAGGACCAACCAGCCCAACCCATCCGTCGCCTCTTCTTCTTCGTACGCCGACGAGTTCACTAGGTAGGCAGGTGAGCAGCAGTGGCGGATCTTGAAAACAATGGGGTCGGGCCCGCACAAGACTATATGCTAAATTCTGTAAGCCGCAAATCAATAATTGGGTTCAAGCAATCATACTTGTAGTGTTGATAGTTTGTGCGGCCGGTCCTTTGCCTTGGTTTGTGTCGGTCAATGTACTCTTGTTCCATATCCAACTTTGGGATGCCGTGGGCTTCACAAAAGGACATTACATCCTTTAATAAAGAATCCCAACCATCATCCCTTAGTTGCTGAAATTTTTGTTTTGTTATTTTCACCTCTGTCATGGCCTCTAAGATGTCTTTATCTTTCCTCTGTAGTGATAGTGACAATGAATTTGCATGTCCCAGAATAAGCAACATTAGTTTCAAGCTGAACACAAAATCAAAATCCTTCATATAGTCCAAGAGGCCACAGGCTTGGCGTCTCTTTGCATCAGTTGGACCTTCTTTTTCAACATATTTGAGCACTTCAATGACATCAGGGAATAAACTACTTATCTTTAGAAGGGTTTTATAATGAGAGGACCAACGAGTATCACCGGCTCTTTGAAGTGAATGTTCTTGATTTAATCCAGTTCCACTTGTGAGTTGTCCACTGCATATTGCTTTACTGACTCTCTCCTGTTAACTTTCTCTAATCATATCCTTTCTTTTGCAAGAGGCTCCAGCAACATTAATCAGTAGAGATACCATGTCAAAAAAAAACACTTATATCGTCATTCTTTTTGGCTACTGCGACAATGACTAACTGTAACTGATAAGCAAAACAGTGGATATAATATGCAGAGCTATTTTCCCTCATGATTAAAGCTCTTAATCCATTAAACTCACCTCTCATGTTGCTTGCTCCATCGTAGCCTTGGCCTCTAACTTGTGTCATGCTCAATCCATACTTAGCGAATAGATTATTAATATTAGATTTAAGACATGAAGCTGAGGTCTCACTCACATGAACAACACCAATAAGTCTCTCTTTTATTAACCCAAGCTTGTCGACATATCTCAAAACCACTGCCATTTGTTCCTTGCCTGAGACATCAGCTGACTCATCTACCAATAAGCAAAATACATCGCCACCGATTTCTTCAACAATAGATTTTACTATTATCTGGATAAACAAAACACACAGTTAACTCACCTATATAAGTATTTTTATTGTAACTCAAAACCATAAAAAAATTATTACCTCAGCAAAACAGTTTGCAATATCCTTCTGTATGGCTGGAGACACCATTTGAGCATTCCTTAGAATAATCTTTTTTTTCTCATTTTGCTTTGCCAAAAGCTGTACCAATTCTCGAAAATTTCCTTTATTTTTGGACTTCTCTTACTCATCATGACCACGAAAAGCTAAACCTTGATGCAACAGGAATCGAGTAGCATCAATAGAAGTATTCAATCTAGCAAGATACTCTTCTTTAGTGACATCTCTCTGCTTGTTGATAGCATTAGCAATGGATTGATCAGGCTTCATCAAATTGTTGCATCTTTTAACTGCTGTGTTATGAAAACTATTAGGTCGGGTGCCTACATGATCTCGAAGCCTGTCTTTTTTGTTAAAGCCATCCCAACCATTTTTCACAAATGCATCATTCCCACCTTGGCCCTCATTAGAATCTCTAAATAAGTAGCAGTATAAACAAAAACATTTATCCACCTTTTCACTGTACTCTAGCCAGTCATATTCTGTGAACCATTCATGGTGAAATCGACGTGGATGACCTACTATAATCTTTTCTGGATACCTAAAACCAGGTGGTGGTCTAAAAGGACCTCTGATCAAATACTTGTGTCTTATCTCATCTTGTAGACTTTGTCCTATGTAATCTGAAATTCTCCTTCTATCCGCCGGATCATACGGAAGCTCATCAAAATTTACCTCCCTTCGTGAGACTCGCGAAGAACGAAGACTAGTATGATTGGTGTTTGTTGCAACTACCCTTCCATCTCTTCTTGAAGTGCCTGCATCAGGGTTCTCATCGCCATCTCCTCTTGAAGCACCTCCAACAGGATTCTGACCATCAGTAGGAGGATTTTTTCTTTTCAAGAATCGTTCCATTGTGCTTTGGTTGACTGTCAAATTGGTGAGTGAACACAATTAAAAGTAAGCAACCGTGCGTATATGATTATATATAAGTAATCTCCTCACCTGACATCAATACGTCACGCCGGCGGCCGGCGGCCAGTCACCGGCGGCAAGGCGGCAACGGCAAGATGTTGGATGCAGCGAGCCGGGCAGCAGGGGCGAGCGCAAACGGAGAAGACGATGAGTTGAATTGCTAGATCGGAAATACCAAGAGTCAGGCCGGTGTGTGTATAGGAAGAGGGATCGATGGCAAGCAATCAATACATGATTTCTGGGCTTCTTAGCTAGTTAGCTGTTAGCCTGCTTGTCTTG